ACCAAGTGAAAAAAATAAAATTAAAAAATAATCATTATTTTGTAAAAGAAAAATACGAAAAAGGACAGGAGAAAGAAAGAAGAGAGAGAGAGAGAGAGAGGGAAAGGCAAAAAGAAAAAGAAAAAGTTAAAATTTTAGCTTTGAACGTTTAAATGCGACAATCTTTCGACCGCTATTAATGCGAAATCAGAAGCCACATCAATTTGATGCATCCAAAATCATTCGAGCCTATACAAAAATAACATTAAATGAGGCTATGGAAATGGCCAGTGATATTAGGCCTAAAATTTCGGTGCCAAGAAAATCGTAAGTTTTTCCATTTTTTTATTTTTAAATTTTAGAATTAATTTTATACCAAACAAAACATTCCTTTCTTTCTTTTTTTCTGTCCATTTTTTAAAGAATGTTTTGCTTCCTTTTCCATCAAATATTATGGCCATTGATTTTTTTTTTTTTTTAACACTTATATCTTTTTTAAATAAAAATTGTATTAATAGAAATTGCATGATATTTATTACGCATTATTAGTATTGTAATTAAGTATTGTTAAATTAGATGTTATTAGTAATTAAGTATTGTTAACTGTAATTATTTGTTATATACAAGTTTATATATAAATACCTTATCATTCCAAATATATTATCAAAGGATTTCCGAATTTATTTTATGCTACAAAATTTTTTTTTCCTTTTGTAAAAAACATTATCAATGGAAATTTGCATGATATGTATTTAATAATTGTTATTAGTAATTAAGTATTGTTAATTATCATTTGATATATTCAAATATCCGATTCTGTAATGATAGTCACAGTTTTAAAAGTAACTGAAAACAAGAGGGATAGATGTGATAATAAGAAAGAAAATCTTATCAGTAAAAAAAGGGAAAAAACACTTATCACTAGGAAATCATAATTTATCAAGTTTTATGGCGAATATTAATTTAATTACTTGCTAGATGCAAATGTAAGCATTCTAATTGTTTGTTATGCTAAGTATAAAATGATACTTTTTAAAAGGTCATCCAATAGGTTATGCAATAAAAATTGAAAAAAGTGTTGAAACTAAATTAGTAAAATTTTTTTTTTGTAGAAAAAAGTGTTGCTAGTGGTCTTGCATCATCGGCTTACAACAATTTGGAATATTTATTTGATGAAAAATCTGATGCGAATAATTCGTCAAATTTAAAGACTGAAATTACAAAAGTAATTAATTTTTGGCTTTTTTTTTCTCCAAAAATTATCAACTATTTTAATACGATTTCAAATTTCAACTTTACGAAATTTATAACTCGAATTTTTTTAATTTTATGAAATTATCTTAAGCATATGAAAGGAATTATTCATCATTTTTATCTCTTGTTTAATTCATCTAAAAAATTTCAAGAAATTTCACAGATAATTAATTATCAAATATAGATAAACAATTGTTATTTAAAATTTGGTAATTATTAAATACGGAAGCATTATGTCGTATGTTTAGTCAATTATTAAATCGTAAATTTCTTAAATTAAAAATTATTTTTTAAATTAAATTTGATGTTACACTTTTTTTTCAGCTTGAAATAATTAAACGATTAATGTAAATTTTTTGCAAATCTATTCATTTACATTTCAGTTCCATTAACAAAAGCCTAAACTATTGATGGATTTTTAATTTTTAAAAATTTCTAAAACAATTGGAAATTTTTATTTTTACAGTATATGACATCAAACGAAAATACGGAAGCATTATATCGTATGTTCAGTCAATTGTTAGATCGTAAACTTCTTGAATTAAAAAAGGTCAAAGTACGGTGGAAGAGAATGGTGATGATATTAAGGAAGATTATATGGCGCAATTTATCAAACCTGGTACCAGTGTTTCGACAATTGATCTTACTAATGTATGTTTATCATATCTTCTTCTTTTTTTTTTTGATTTTAAATTTTTATCGAAATAAAAATGAAAATGAAAATATGCAATGATAATAAGAAAAAAAAAAGATTCATCGCAGAAAGTAATACTGAATGATAGCAATATTGATTGAATTAATTAATTTCTTAAATTATTTTTTCATTTTTCAAATCTCAATGTAACTAATTTATCCATCTTTTTTTTCGTTTTTTTTAGTGTGGTAAACTTGCACTCTGTTCAAAATCAAGTACCCTTCAAGGTAGTATAAGACGACGACGGCGACGAATAGCCAGAAGTCAAAGTATGGGAAATTATATTTGAAAAAAAACAAAACTTTTTTTTTGTTATTATTTCGCATAACTTTGAAATTGTCATTATATTATCCGAATTTTCTCCATTTTCATTTCTTTATTTATTTCTTTTTTGTTGGCCAACCGATAATGAGCTTATTTTTTCTTATTTTTTGTACATACACTCACACTTTTTCATTTTTTTTTAATACAAAACATCATAAATTTGTTTATTATTATCATTTATTATTATTATTACTATTATTATTGTTAATTATTATTATTATTACATTATTAATTATTGCTATCATTAATTATTATTACGATTAACTATTATTATTAATCGTTATTATTAATTATTATTATCATTGATTATCATTATTGTCGACTATTGTTGTTTATTATTATTATTAACTA